GCGAACAAAAGAAACCATGGATTTCGATTTGAACGGAGGGACTAAGCGAGTCTTCAATAGACTCGGCGGGTCGACTCGTTCGACGGCACCAACGGACTCAAGACAGAAAGTTTGTTACCACTGGCGAGCCGGACGGTGCACTCGGTCTCCTTGCCCTTATCTACACCGAGAATTGCCGGGTCCGGGTCCGGGTCATGGTCAGGGTTACACGAACAAAAGGGTCGCTGAGGAATTCGGATTTGCGGGTCCGAGTCACCGGAAACTCGAATAGCTGGGGGAGATTCGGTGGGAACAGAACGGTGACGAAGACGGAGAAAGTTTGCAATTTTTGGGTTGATGGGAATTGCACATACGGTGATAAGTGTAGGTATTTGCATTGCTGGAGCAAAGGAGATAGTTTCTCGTTATTGACTCAGCTTGATGGTCATGAGAAGCTTGTTAGTGGGATTGCTCTGCCTTCTGGCTCTGATAAGATTTACACTGGGAGTAAAGATGAGACCATCCGTGTCTGGGATTGTGCTTCTGGACAGATCTTTATTCGATTCTTCAAAGGACCTTCTTCAAATGTTTGATGGAATTGGTTGGTTAGGATGTAGACTGGTTTAAGAGAATACAATTTTTCAAATTTATATTAAGAAGAGTCTGATTTTGCTGATCCTGATCGTAACCAATGGATGTTCTTGTTGTCGTCTCTAGCTAGAAAACCATGTTTATCTAATTTCATTATTTGTTTTTATCTTGTGAGAAAAACTGTTTTAAGTTTACTTATCGTGGCTACTTTAATCTTCTGTTTCCATTAGTGTACAAGCGTACTCAATCTTGGTGGGGAAATTGGCTGTGTGATTAGCGAAGGCCCGTGGCTATTGGTTGGCATGCCAAATTTTGTAAAGGCAAGTGCTGAGGATGATTTCTCTTACCATTGTTTTCCTTTACTGTCACAATAGATATCGAGATGCTGCTTTTATTGCTCTATGCTTGTTGAGTAATTGTAGAAATTGATGTTCTATTGACTTGAATGTTTTATCTTACAAAGCAATGTATTTATACAAGGTAATCAGACGGNTTACCGCTTAACCTAATTCACCNTCTTAACTTAAAGNCCATGCAATATAACTATACAACCTAAACATATATAGCCCA